ATACTCTGATCTCGAGTTTTCAATGACTTTTTTTTCTTACATGATATTAGATTTAAATTTTTCTTAGATTTTGGTTTTAAGGAATGTAATGGTTAAAATTGCAAAAGGAATAATTTTGAAGGATGGATTAGAAGAGAAGAGAAGAAATTTGCTTTAGAAAAATCCTGTATTATTTCAGTGGTGCCATATATTGATCTCGAAATGAAGCTCATGTTTTTAATCTTATTCCTTCAGTAGCAAAAAAATGGGAAGGAAACAAGGGGATTTTCTTATAGTTGTGTGGATTTTCCCCCTTTGATTTAAGTTGCGGTGTTGTTATAACCTTAAGAGTGGTTGACAAGAATTCCCTAAATTAAAAAATGATAACATTTTATAAGCATATTTTCTTCATTACAGGACCAGAGCGGTTGTAGTTTTTTCAGGACAACATTTTCTTTACCTGCCTTACTATATACTATTTCTTAAATAAACATAACCTGTCCCTGATTTGGGTCTTGTCAATAATATAGTAATTATATCCCCTTCTTTTCCATGAAAAATTTCCCACGTAATCCATACAGCTTTCTTACACATTTTTTCTCTCTAGCACTAGCTGATCCAAAAGGTATCTGAAAACATTCCTTGTTCCCACTTTGGGCAGCCCTGCAAAGTCTTTTGGTAAGGTTGACAATTCTTTTTCTAAGACAAGAATGAGGCACAGTCGATAACTTCCCCCCTTTCATCCTGTATTCATTCTGAATATTTTATGACAAAAGCTTTTAGTTTTGTTACAGAAAAAAATACAGAAAAAGTCCAGATTTTCCAAAAAGAACACACCCACAAGAAAGTCTACAACAGTGAAACAGCAATTGAAAAAGTCCTGAAACAGAATTTTTTTCCACACTTAGTATCTATCTTCTGTTGTTCCTAAACTTGCACCATTCATTGTCTTGGAAAATGGTCCTACAGTCTAAAAAATTTTAACAAAATTCGTATTTAACTTACTTAGGATTTCTGATACGAATAGTAAAACAATAGGAATGATGTTAATTTATTATTATGTACTTTAGTACTCCTTTAGGAAATATTTAATTATTTTTTGGCAGAAAAGAATAGAGTTAATACGCTAGCAATTTAATAATACCAAGGCAGTTTTTATGTTCGTGGACAGCTTCTCTTTGGTGTATACATTTACAGCTTTGAAAGTTCAACTTTTTTGA